CTGGCTGGAACTCAGTTCCTACAGGTTCAACCTATGTTTAGAAATGGTTGTCCAGCTCATATGACCCGAATCAATGAACACTGGATATCTTCGAGATCAGCAGATCTGGTTGCTGTCAGAAAGCCATACCGGTAACTAGCGACTATGATGGCGCACGCGGATGTCTAAAAACCGGATAATCAGGAGCTAGAAGAATGACAGAGAACGTCCGTGGATTTCAAAGGCCCAGAAAGTTGAGAGGGCGTTCGCTGGTATCAGTCTAGTATCCGTCGCATCTAAGGTGTTCTCTGGCATTTTGCGCAGGTTGATGGTTTATCGGGAGAGATAAATTCGTGAGAACCAAGCTGGGTTCTGCCCTGGTCGAGGATGCATCACCCATAGCTTTACCTTGATACAAATTCTTGAACAGCGTCACTCCTTCAGACGTCCCACGTTGGTCGTTCTTTGGATTTGGAAGCTTCCTTTGATTCCGTCGATCATCAGGATCTTTGGCAGTGTCTAGTGGTGAAAGCCATCCCTTCCAAATTTCTCTCCCTTATGAGGGCATTGTATACGAACTCCTGTGGGCACGTACGAGTATACGGGAAGCTCTAACCTGAGTTCCCCACGTCCAGTGGTGTAAAACAAGGCTATCCTCTCGCCCTTCCTCTTCAACTTTGTTATTGATATGCTGCTTGAAATTTCTCTACCTGCCTCTGAAACCTTGTGAGTCGAAATGCTCGCGGGACGTTCCCTCATAGACATTGAGTATGCAGACCGTATTGTTCTCCTTGGTTCAGATCCTTCCCAAATGCAAACGATGTTAAATAACCTAACTAATTCTCCCCCATGGGTTGGCTTGTGCTTCACACCTACAAAGTGCTACGACGAGACTGGGTGAGATCAAACCCACACCTCATGCTTGTAGGTGAGCCAATCGATGTGGTGGCTTAATTTGTTTACCTAGACAGCTGTTTAATTTCCGGTGGACTGACTGGAGATGAGATTATTTGTCGAATCGGAAAGGCCAGGGAGCTTTTGCCAACCTCCGATACCAATGGGGCCGACGTGACGTGAGCTTGTCCGTCAAGGCAGAGTTTACACTGCGGTAGTGCGATCCATACTGCTTTATGGATTAGAGGTGTGGCCCCTATGTGCAGAGAACATACGAAAGATGTCAGTGTTTGGCCATCGGTGTCTCCGCAGCGTTGGTCAGGTCTGGTGGGAACATCGGATTAGTAATTCTGAGGTAAGCCAGATGGTCTTAGGAAGGAGGAATTCTCAAGTGATAGATGAATTACTCACGCTTCACAGGTTGCGTTGGTTGGGACGTGTACTCCACATATCAGAAGACCGTCTGCCTCGCAGCATGACCGGGAGGTGGACAGTGTATGACCTAGCAATGAAGTACGAAAACACTGACCAGTAAACTTAGTCGGGTGGGCAACTGCCGCCTCCGTGAATGGGGTCCCCGGGACTCAAATCACCAGTGGTTAATGACATAGGTATCAAAACTATCGCATCAGAGCTATCGCCTTCAATGCGTAGCTACCCGACTTCCGAACAAACTGAACATGCCTTTGCCTCCAATGCTTGGTTGTATGTTACACTTTCCCGTTTTGCGGTGTTCGAAACTGTAGCAGCTGGAAACAATGTGCCTGTGGCACACGGTTTATGGCTGATAAATTGATTGATTGACTGTTGTAATCCTCTTTGTGGTAAGTTCCTCGCGCTTTGTGGTCTCTAGTATGGGAAGTTTAAGATCTAAATACGGCTCTTGAAATAAGATGTCACTGAACGGCTTTTAGGATACCGCGAGGAACATTTTAAGGATTTCTACAATCAATTGTTCGGACCGTCGTCATCATAATCGAAATAATGACATCAGTGTTCAGCACTGGTGTCTCGCTGTCGTACAACCATGATTTATTTGAAAACCCCATTGTGAAGAACAGAATAAAGGTGGACTGGTTAGGGGCTTATTGCTAGCTTACCACAATCATTCCGAGGTATCTATACCTCCAGACATTCACTCAGGCGATCTGGACAGAAACTGACAACAAGAATGCCACTGATATCGGTTGGCAGTCATATCTTGCAGTGTCTACAACCAGGCGCAGTGCAGATCACGTGGTCCTCATCCTAGAAGGCGATTAGCACTGACAGCTCCCAAACGTTTCGTGATTTCTTCCATACCGCTTTGCTCCCGCCACTTGAATTGTGAAAGGAAAACAGCACTCTTCGGCAAACGATGGTTAGACATACACAACATATGTCCCACCCACCGCAGCTTTTGGTGCTGGACAGATTCTTTGGCGTAAGTAGCCGTTGCACAACCGAAAACTCGCTTTCCACTCGCCTCGTTACGGATACGCCAACTCCAACCCACACGAGCTATGGTTCTGAGACAACGATTATCGAACACCCGAAGAGGTCTCATTTCCGCTGCTCGAACAGGCCATACAACAAAACAGCCCGCACTGTAGCTTTAGATTCAGGGATGCACCACTTTGACGCCATAGTTGTCTCAAATTAGCAGACGTGACCCGAGCCTTGGAGATTCGTGTATTGACCTCATCTGTCACGCTACACTCAGAACTAATGCAACCTCCAAGATACGTAAGACGCTCCACAATTTACAATGCCTCTCTCTGGATTGGAGGTGGTGTGTTCAGTGATTGCATGTCCAGGAGCATGACCTTATACTTTGTGGGTGAAGAGTGCATACCAAAGGACGGGATGACTTTGGTCAGTTCATCCAAAAATACTTGCGCCCTCTCCTCCTCTCCGAAGATGATAACGATGTCGTCTGCCTACTCCAGACCGACAAGGTTTTATTCACATGCTATTTTAACAAATCGGTCAGCTGTAACACCCTTCCGGTGCCTAGCTGCGCTGTCACCCAAAGGAAGCACGAGTGCTGGGGTACTTCCAGGTTGCCCAAGCCTAGACAGGGAAATCGAGAGGCATAGGTCGGGTTTGAACCACGAACCTTCCCGTCAGTAAATTCGCGCCCCCACCACTTGGTCCACCCTGCCAGTGAACGTGTAACGACATGAGTGTCAGTCTGACTATGGTAACAAGGCTTCCAGCATCACTGGAGGCACGTGGGACTTCGACCGGGCAGACCATATATTCACGGGTAGGCAGGTATAAGGAGAACATCTTTGATTTATCAGATCCAAAATCTTGCCATGTTCGATTTTGTCGACTTGTCTTTTCTCTTTACTGTGGTTGTTCAACGGTCGATTTACCGAAATGAGTAAGCATAAGCTGCTCACTATATTCACATAACTCCGGTTGTTTGAAGGTGCAGATGGAGATTTCAGAGCGCCTTCCAAGAAGGTAGTGTCCGGCGCAAATGTCCACTCACTTACAATTTGCCACGGGCGAAAGATGAGGCCAACAATGAAGTGAATCCAAGGCCCCAAGGTTTGAGTGATCGCTGATGAAGACAATTTTGATCTGCGGTATGTGTGTGCCTCTAAGAAGTGCAAGATAATGCACTCTGAATTTCAAGGATAGCCATTGGAGAGTCTACCCATTGGTTGTTGTATTAGCTCTGGTGGAAGGGTTATGATGGATTCAGCACACAAGTCTCGAGGTCGCGAATAACGCTCATCACTTCGCGCCATTTGTGGCATCACAAAGCATACCACTTGATCCGAAGTTTCATTTGCACCGGGAATAGTATAAGCGATGCTGCTATCTAGTAACGAGACAGGGCGTTCATAAGTAGACGGCCTAAGACGTCTTCAAGCTACAAACACATTAGGACCGTTGCTCGTTTTGGATGATGTCGGCCGCTCAATTGCGAGTTAGAAGTCAGGTCGTATAGCGTGCACTTCAGTGGTGGAGAGCATTAAGTCGCATTAAGTACATTGACTTAACCGTGTGCTACAGATTTTCCACCGAGACGTATATGATTGTTTTCACCTTCAGAATGGCCCGAACCGCGGTGTCGGTAACCTGTAACTTTTCATGAAGGTTTGGTTTTCATGCCGTCCGTCTTACATAATAATGAAAAAAATGATCTCTCAGCTGTAACACCCTTTCGGTGCACAGCCGTCATTCCACCCGAGGCAAGCACGAGATACTGTCAGGTCGCCCAATCCTAGAAAGGAGCGGTCGAGATACCGTCGTTGGGTTCGAACCACGGACATACCTATCATTAGATTCTCGCCCTAACCACTGAGTCAGCTCTCACAAAATATAAACACTGTGTGCGGATGTTAAATTATATTGAACTCTAGATGGCTCAGTGGTTAAAGCGTGAACTAACTGATCGGAACGCCCGTGGTTCGAACCCGACCTCTGCATCTCGACTGTTCCTGTCTGGACCGTGGCAGTATTTTGGCCCCCGATCTTCCTTCGGGGGACATGGCAGCTAGGCACCAAAAGGTTGCTACAACTGGACCGTGTTTCGTGCATTATGTACGCTATTACGTTCGATGTGCACTCATACATGAGTGTTGGCAACAATGCCCCATTGTATTTCCTGCGTGTCGTTGAAATTGGTTGACTGTTCTTTCAGTACCATAACCTGTTTCTTGTGCTCGACTTCAGTTGGTCTGCGGTCATTCGTGCCTCGGTAATCGTATATCTTTATTCCTTTCATTTGAGTCTAACTTTTGGAAAACATGGCTCGAGATGTCCTCTCCAGATTGTGTGTTCCACGAGAATTTTAGTGGGAAAGTGATAACCAGCGCCCCATTGTCTGTTCTTAGTCCAAATCGTATTAGGATCTTTTGGTGGATAGCACATCTTGCGTCTTTGTCCTGGAATGTGAACCTTTATTGGTGTGATATGACCAACTTTTCGGTTATAATTGACCCCTCAGATTGTGTTTAGTCCAGCTCCAACTTCTCGCCTACTTCGCTAGTATTTTCAACATTGTTCTGCCATACAGCATCTTCGGAGTTTCTTTGGCAGTTCGCCGTGTGCCAGTACTATTGAGCCGCTATTATTTGATAATATAGTATTTTTCGCATCTTTTCCAGGCGGATTACGAACTTGGCGAGTTGTTGAATGAGGCAGCCTGTCTCGGAATACTTGATAAAGTAGAGCAGTTAATCCAAAACGGAGTATGAGGACTCACCCAAAATTTAACGATAACTGTTTTCAGGCAAGTGTCCATCATATAAACAAGGTGAATGGCATGACTCCGCTACATTGGTCGGAGCTCCGAGGACATAATGATATTAGTGATTACCTTTTGGTCCATGGGGCTGACCCGTCCAAACCGAGACTGGATGGTAAAAAGCCTTCCGACTTGCGTAAGCTATTGAACGATTGTCAACAATTTACGCGCAAGGATTATCTGTACCTCTGTCCTATCGACCAAACTACCTGAATTACACCGAGTTTACTCATGCGTCTCGAGATGTATGTGTGGTGAATTCCGAACAACCTGTTAGTTCTCAGAAATCTGATTTGCTGCTTCTCAAGGTGAGCAGGACTTTTATATCAATAAAATGGCATTGGAAATGTTTTATGCTTTCACATTGTACAGGGGTTACGTGTACATTTATTATGTATGTGTAACTCTCTTGGAGAACACTGTTCACCGTATTTTTTCATCTAATTTTTAAAAACGCACTTTTTCACGATGGAATCTGACCGTCCGTTCAAGAGTTTACGTTGATCTGTACGTTCGCAGAGCCTCCAGTCAATGGGACTAATCGGGGCTTGGGCACCTCATGATCACAAGTTTTAAACATTATCGATTTCATTGCTGGAACGTCGGCGTTGTTCAGGTGACTAATAACTTTTGGGGGTATTGCTAACCGGATGTCTTTGGGACTGAGTAACCACTCCCGTGATATAACAACAGAACCTCCAGAGTAACGACGCAAGGCTGCCTCAAACACGGGCAAAAGTGGATCGGGTCTTCGTGTACTAAGTGAATTATTATCTTGTTACTGATGCGTCCTCCCCAGTTGTGCCCACATATAACCAGCGGAAGAGAAAGTCAGTAGGACTGGACGGTTTTGTACACTTTCTTAACCTAATGTGTCGCGTTAATAGCATTCACACATGTAGACCGAACTAGCAGTAAGAACTTCAAAGTCCAGGCGTTTGGAGTGAGTAAACGCAGTGAAAGTATCCCTGAGATCAGTCCTACAGGTGGCGGTGGGCACACTGTTGCTCGCAAGTCTTCCTATGCATGCAGACTTGGTTTACGGCGTATACTGCTCAGCAGGCTCAATAGGAATATGAATTCTACAAAGTCCTTCAGTCACCCGCGGATTACCAGATCACCGGAATGGATTTTATTATTTTGAATTTTAGTGAAAATCCTAAATTCATAGCTGGCTTTATCTCCTGTTCAATTCTTCCTTGTTTTGTCAAGTGAGTTTTGGACCATAGAGCTCTTGCCACATCAAACAGCGATTGAGCTAATTGTACTGTAGTGTCTATGTGAGCTGGTGATAAATGGAGCGGTTGGCTGTCCCTTCTTGTCTACTTATTAGAAGAGTAGGAATACATAAAAACGCCCGACATCGTTAGGTGTTTTCTCTTTTGAAGGTTGCCAGTAGTCAGAATGATGATCAGCAAAAACCATATGTTTATTGTAAAACAGGCTTTGTGGTCACTGGCAGAAAACCTGGACCTAAAGTACGATTTACTGTTCATGACGTTTAAATAATACTTTTTTACTTGTTAATAAAAACCTGTGAATCGTACATTTTTGTCTCACGTACTCTTTACTTTTCGGTCTTATTCAAGTAGAGGTGGTTTTGAATACAAACAAATTTAGCGTTGTACCCGCATACGCAGCCGTTTTTGGGAAGCTTCTTGTGATCCATAGAGTCTAATGTGGCCGTGACTGGGCAACAGATACATGTGGTCTACACCAAGCACAAAACACATGGTCAGGGTCGTGAACCAAAAACCTCGTTTACGGCCGAAGACGAAAACAAATATTAGACTTGTTACTGTTATATTTACTTCTTTCCTGTTAATCCAGTGTAGCGTCCGCGTTTCTGTGACTATTCTGTGGTCTTTCAGCGGTGAATACTGAGCATGTCCCATTTCCAACCAATACTATGGTTAACTGAAATTGTGTGGTAAACCTAAGGCTGTCCGTTTACTGCTTGTGACAATCGATATTTCCCACGTCATATTGTTGGTTAACTGCTAGAATGTGTTAAGGCGAGAACTGGCCGTAATTAGTCATACTTGTTTGAGTGTTAGGCGCGAGTTTACTGTGTCCTGCTGGTGAAATTATAGGGAACCCACGGAGCTAAGTGGAAACGTGTTTTTGCTAACGCGGGATAGTTAATTGATTGTATCCAATAGGCACTCCTAATACGGCGTTTGTTATACCTTCTGGATTTAATCAGTATTGGATGCAAGAACGAGTGAACTGCGTAAAATGGTTTGGTGGAATTTCACTAATGTTTCTGACCGCATGGGTGAGATTAATGCGATATTACTTTTTACTTGGGAGGTGAACATTGATGGAGGTGGAACGCACTTGTATAGATGTATAATCTTAGTATGAAATTCATTTACGTGCATTCCAAAAGGATATCTTTGTCTCTCAGACTTCCTTTTGGCTGAAAATGCTAGCTGAATATGACCCTGTGTATTTTGCTTCATTCGAGGAGAAATACCTTTCCTACTGGGTTCTTGTAGTGCACGCGTTCGAAAGGACAGGTTTCAGTCACAGGTCACTAGTGTACTGGATCTATATACCTGACACGTATCTTTACTTAGTGGTGAGTACTTTCCTCACCCAACCCGTGCAGATCGTTTGTGGGTCATTCAAATATCGTCGCCGACCTTGTCTACCTGGCTCATTCGACACACTTTTGGCCCTTCGAAAGATAGATTTAAGTATCTCGAATAGGCAAAGACGTTAGAATTTCTTTTAAAGTTAGCAATGACCAGGTAAAATGACTCCGAAAAGTTAACCTGTGTACAATTCCTTGAGATGATTTCAACGAACAATACCGCTCATCAAGGGGAGAATTAAATGATCCTCAAGGACACTTCCTGTTAGGTTTCACCATACTTAATCCAGTCTTCGGCATAGTTGTCGGTCCAGTTATTTGCCGAGCTTGGTAGTTTTGTTGCTAACACCCAGGTGACATCATTAGTGAGTCATTAGGTTGCCGAGATGACTCAGTGGTTAGAGAGCGAGTTAATTGACGGAAAGGTCCGTAGTTCGAACCCGACCTCTGCCTCTGCTTCCCCTGTCTAGGCTTGAGCAACCTGGCAATATCCCAACCCTCGTGTTTCCTTCTGGTGGCGTGGCAGCTAGGCTCCGAAAGGGCGTTACTGCTGAACGATTATCTTTTATTTTTTTCTGGTGGCGTGGCAGCTAGGCTCCGAAAGGGCCGTTACTGCTAACGATTTTCTTTTATTTTTTATCTTAGTTTGCCGAGTCAAGCAGCGGGTGTTCATCATTGTCGTGCTTCAAGTAGAGATCGCCGGGTAGTTTTGGGTTGGTAGTCTCAATTGTTGGGCTTTTGGTATATGTCCGCATTTTCATACCGTTGATTTTGCCGTCTTATGTACGTACACTTGACAAACGCGTCTGCTGCACTGAATACGGAGTCAATGTAATTATCATCATCGGTATCATCCGATGTCGATGGTGAGCGGTTAGTAATGATTTCAGCTTGCCAGTAAGTGAACATATTGACGGATTCGGTCTCACGTTCCAAGTAATAACTCCTGTCATTGTCGTGCAAATCCAGTGATAGTGGCACACTGGTTGCTCAGCTATGGGCCCATGTTGTATATAAACTGCATATCCCTTTACCAAATTGCTTTCTTTCGGCGAATTAAACGTAAATACGATAGTTTAGCCGGACCGACTGTAAGACACTCCTGTTTCACGAACGGAAGTAAAACTAAGTGCCGATACATCGATGTACATGTGAACTTGGTTGTCTGTAATTAGTGCCAGTGATTTGTGTAATACCGTACAGCAGCACATCGACTCAGCTTTCACCATTTGTAACTATGTTCCCTAATTATTTGTGCTCAGACCTTACTGCTTACTCTCCGCTTATCTATCGAGGCACACAATCTTGTGTATTTCCTCTCAAAAATCAACTCGACTATTTGTCTCTGTGCGGTTGAACGCTTCAATGTTTACAGCATTGCCTTCTCGTGGGGAATCCAGACACGCTGTTGACTGAGCCCGAATAACCCGTATGTACCTCTGGCTACCACCACTGCTCTTGAGCTCTGTTGACGTCAACATGATAATGTACTGTGATTTGGCCTTCCTATTGTAGTTCAGTCCAAGTTGGTTTGCGAAGCTACACCGTTGCACACCGACCATCCATTCAATTCGAGTTTGTCTTCACTCGGCTGTCAATAAGTTTTGTCACTATCAGCCGACTGGATAGCCCTTGTACCAAGACCGAAAATATTGACCAAATGGAGATGGCTCGGAATTCGAATGGTCACTGATCGTTTGTCGACTATAAACAGCCCTAAGCAAAACATCGGCCCGATGCCTTTTGGATACTGAGGCTACCCTTTTCTCTGACTGAAGCTGAGGTCTCTCCCACTAGGTAGACAACGCGACATAGCTCAAGTGTCACCAAGAAATGTACTTGAGCAATAGCCAATAGGCCCAACAAAGGGAAAGCGCATGGACGAGTGGTATCACCTGGTCTTTATCCCAATTTATCTGTAACATCGGACGGAGAGAATTTCCATTACTTAAAAACACAACAAAAGAGAATGGGTCCCATTTCGTCCGTTTGTTTCAAGGGGTAGATTTCGGTCAACTAATCTCATTTTGCACAGGAGTGTGTGATAGGATGCGTTCTTCCAGAGAGCTGTATAACCCCCGTGATTTCATAATCCAGTCGCTATTCATTCTGTATCTTTTGGACAGATTCGACTAGCCAACTCCGTTGATCCGGATTTCTACGAAATTGATGCCCCCGTTTCCACCTGCACGTTTGACGCTTTTCGTGAGCTAATCGCTACGGAACTGTCGGTTCAACCCTCTGAGATAAAGAAAATTCGGAAGCTCCCAAATATCATACTTCGGAAAGAATCAGATCTCCGTCGTCTGATGCCCGGTGCTGAGCTCGAAATTGTCCTGTGATTTCTTTTTGCACCAACATATTTGGTTACTCACTGTTCACATCCTTTTATCGAGGTCTACGCATCGGTATTAAAGTGTTTCCTGGTCCAGCGAACGTGTTTTCAGTTTCTTCCTACGGCCATCGTGCGAGAGAAATTTGCGCTGAATGGTCGTGAGTCATGGTGGTTTATTTATGCCGCAATATATACCTTCTCTAGAACGGATCTGTTGGCACACGAAATAATTATACAGCCGATTGGTTTCTGCGTATGGTTATCGCTAGATTATGCTAAATTATCAATTATAGATGCACAGACAACTAATTCTTTCGTGGTGGCAATCTACACCAACTCCCAACGTCGCTTGCGCAACAAGCCACAAGAGTTTTCACGGAGACTTCGTCCTGTAAGTGGAGCTAATCTATGTTGAAAAGCCGATAGACATTGCATCTGTTTCATCCTTATTGAGAACCATCAGCAATGCGCATTACAGCGCCATGGGGGTCTTGGTTTCCAAACATCTTGGAGTTCCGTAAGATGCACACTGCAGATAACTCTCAATAAGGATGGGACAGTTGCACGTTCAGGTGTAGCATTCTCTCGTTGCTTAGCTCCCATGCCACCCGAAGAAAGCAGAAGGAACAGTTGTGCAGTGCTTCTCGTTTATCAGCACAGATCGGCTTCACTTACAAGATGAAATCTCCGTGAAAATGTTTGTGGACTTTTGTGCCAACGCCGTTGGAAGGCAGTTAGTATAGTTTGTCACCACCCAAGGATTACTTGTTCTATGTAGTCGGTCTCCTGGACAGACCGCTTGTTACCATTCACTTCTGTGTATTTGCTATAAGAATGTGTGTGGTTGTGCTAGTTTATCGGGCGGAGTCCATTACACATTAAGACCTGCACACCTCTGAGTGCCTTCTAGAGTTCGGTGATCGGATGGAGCAAAAACAACAGACGAGAGGTGATTTGCCCACTGGCCCACCCAGCTCCCTCCCACCCCCAAAACAGCGTGGTCATCCATCTTTGACTGAGCTCAAGGTCACTAATCAAACTGGCTCTAGGAAACGGGTTCATTGTTCTCACACCAAAGCCTCCATATCCCGACGCATCAGTCAATTCAACCACAGCCCATAAACAGGGTTCAGTTTCACAGATTTCATCCCAGCAACACAGCAGAGGGTGCTTGTTCAGTACAACGTTTTTGATAGACGATACAATAAAAGGGTAACTAGCTCGCATCAAGCGCCTAGTCCAATCAGAGCACCGGACCAGTTTTTTACAAGGCCGACTGCGCCGATAGTGACTGCGTATACGTCTGGCAAACCAGCAGAGAACTCAAGGTGCGGGTCAAGAAACCTCGTGCTGGTCTGAGAAACTCCGGTGAGAATTAGTCAGTGTTTTTAATCCATTTGTTAGGTGAAGACCCTTGGATCAATTCTGATTGCGGGCATTTCTGGCGATGCACGACAATATCATGCCGATTCCATACGACGCCTTCCTGTGTCAACCAGTCCGACAGAGCCGAACTGCCGGCTGCCTGCTCCGGTCCTCATCACACAGAGGCCTTGCAACTTGACATCAAGTCCAAGAGACGTTATCCATCAGCCACTGAATACAAGCACACAACCCGCGTGATCTGACTCAAACCAATCACACTAGCTCTGCCTCTATATGTTTGTGGTGTTAACATTCTTTCCATAAAGTGCCCTTGGCGGTTATAACACATGATCGTTCCGTTTCCACTATATTCACTATGAATAAACAACGCTGTACCCAATCTCTTCTGCTTTTAACGAACTTAGTTTGTCATTGATCTTGCTAATTGTTTACTGACCCAGGACACTGACATCTACGATGGATCGAATTTTATTCATCCTGTGAAGTTAGTAGCTTGTGCTTACGACCACGACCAAATAGAGGAGCTGAAGTTACCGTAAGTATATGCCACCCAGTTACTGTATAGCTGTCTCCGGAATTGCTGTATTGGTCAGGCAAGTATGGTGAGCTTGATTTTTCTAATTTTCGCACGCACACATTTTGAGTTTTTGCCGATGCGTAACGGATTTGCAGCTGAGATATGGCCGAGACGATGCATCCAAACAGAGCGCCAATCCAAGCTGAACGGTTCACTGCCAAGATTTTTCTCCATGCAATCGCAGTCACTGTTTAGAGCTCGTTTCATTTGTCCATGATTGTTCAACATTTCTAGAATACGGTGTTAGATGGTAATGCCGTTCCTAGTAGATTAGCATTTGCTCGTCCACATTTTCGTACATTTAGGTCAGTGGTCAGGTTTCCCACAACACAATCGAATGTACATTCGCCCTCAGCGTGGATGCATTTCCGGTTACCCTTGTAGCTCAAAAGGAACAGAAAATATTTCTTCCTGTATCTTCAAGAAAGACAAGTCAAACAATCAGTTCTGTAACATGATGTTTGGAGCCAGTAAAATTCGCGTGCATATTCCAAGAAGCAAGGTACACATACTCTTGGTATTCCTGACAGTGGGAAGTTCGTGAGCATCAAATAGATTACCTCTGAGGACATTATGGAGGTCTCTGAGTGCTTCTTGTAAACGCGCCCATAAAATGTGTCTGTCACTGGGTTTGTACTGCAGTGAAAAGTAATGTAAATTGTTATGCAAAACATGTGGGCAAAACTCCATACAGGTAGAGAGGTATAAAATAACAAAGCGTTTTCGGTTGATTTTCCTTGCTGTCGATGAGCAAACGTTCTGCTTTCAGGCTTTCCGTAGCTGAATGGCTGGTACTTGCCGAAAATGTTCGGAGGCGATTGTAAAAAAGGTTGCGATCAACACTCGTTCGGCCGTATCACCCGGCGACTAGCTGCTATGCCACCCGGAAGAAATATGAGGACTGAAACACTACCAGATTCCCCAATCCTAAGCAGGAACTGTCAAGCTTCAAAGGTTAGGTTCCAACTGTCGGCCTTCCACTCAGTAGGTTTGTGCCTTAACCACAGCTATTTTGAGCTCGACTGAAGTCACCTGTGCCCTCGATTCCATATCTCGTTCGTAAAGGAAATGAACTAACCTCAGTCAATGAGTACTATGCTGCTGAAGAAAAGTGGTCGCTCTTGGTGGCGAGTAAATCAAACGACCGAACGAAACAACTTGACATACTGCAACTTAGCTATTCACGAGTCTTTATGTACAGACAAATTTTGCCTGGCCCTTCCAGGCTGCATAGATACCTTCTCATGTTCCACATATGTATCCATTTTTGTGGGACACACTGTGTAGATTGCTGTTTTACCCAGACTCATGTTTTACCCACGAATGTTGCCTACTTAAACTTTGAGTTTTGGCATTTTTCGTTTTTAAATTTACTGAGATGCAAGAACTTCTAGAACGCATTAACCCAAATGAATATTGTTCTTAACGCTCATCATTTGGGCGATGGGCTTGCATCTACGGGTTTTTTGCATACAGAGTTCTGACCAATGTCCTCATTGTTGTTTGTCGTCACCTGAACAAAACGGAGTTACGTTTTTAAGAAACCAAAACTTGGTAGCAAGCAGGTAAACATAGATTGTTAAAATCGAGAATTTCTCCGCACACAATGTACCGTTCTCAAAACCTCATTGGGTGTGCTGCGCCTGTAATAACGCTAAAGCTGCTGTTCGGTGGCTACCATCATTCGAACCATGTTGCACCATGCTTAACCCTAATTAGTTATATAAGCCTGACTTGGGAGCGAGTGGTGCGAGCCACTAGTCCACCTCCTGCATACATTACACACTTGAAGCCTTTCGGTTGTCTACACATTTCGCAACCGTAGTTTATCGATTATGTTTGGCGTTGACTTTTAAAGTCCTTTTCTTCTGGCGTCCGGTTTTTTGGAGCCGGGTTAAACAGGCCGAAATCCGTTCAGGCTGTTTCACGCATGGTTTGCACGGAATAGTACTGGATTGACAATGCAGCTAAATCTCAAAACGCATACCAGTCTCGTGTTGCTTTGAATCTAATCTAATGTCAACCAGCTAGCCATATGACCACAGAATGAATCTACAAGTTGGATGCAAAACCTAAACTGTTTGTAATATTCCTATTCACTAAATGCCGTTTCCAGAAGAAAAAAGCCCTGTCTCGTTGTTACACAATGGGATGGACTTACTTAGCTAACTGCCTTACAGATTGACTTCAAACAAATGGATATCGAAACTGAATTTTTTCACATATTTATCATAACATTTAACTTAGTTGTAGTGATCCTTCGATAAAACTTCCTATTGCCTGTCGTACAGGTGTCCGTATTCATTGCAGATCTGCTTCACTCAGTCATCCTGCCTAATGATTAAGGTTGCCGTGAGTGATTACAATAAGATGAAACGTGACGTTAACAGATATTCCTCATTTGGAGTTACAGTCTGCCATGGTATAAGCGATACGAGTAGGGTACGTTACCAGGTTAATTACAGTGACCCACCTTACTATGACAGATCCATTCCGATCAAAATCCAAACAGGGATAAGTCTCAAATGGTTGGATACAACATCGAATGTTCCGACATTATGCCAAAATTGCGCTTATCACTTTGGACACTTGGCGTAATAAGCAAGGTTCAGACAAATTAACTGTTCGATCGAGGACGTGTAATACGATACTCGTTCTGTGCAGCCGTTAACTTGCCAGAAATGTGGTGGAACTTCAACTTTCTCTTTTTTCCAAATGACTGATATGGATCCATGAAATGATGCACTTTATCCGGTCTTCTAACCCCTGCAATTTTCACTTTCAGAGTTCAAATCGGGTGGGTTGTCTACTGGCACCATTGAGCGTTACATGTTTCGTACTGTCTTTATCAGCTTCCTCCCCTTCGTGAGAAAAATTTGATTTCTATTCTCACGAAACAACGACGGTCAATTTTCAACAAATTCCTGAAATCGCAAGAACAAATCTGGTCATTCCACTCAATTACGCCGGGATAAGGTCAACTTGTTCCATCTTAGGGAATACGATATAGCTAGCTCCTACGTGCTATGAGCATTATGCCGTGTACGATTTTCTTCCTGATCTGTATCTTTGTTCAAAATAAGGCCCGTTTATATGAAATCGCTCACTAATGTGTGGGAGGGGTGAACT